CTCAAAAGGTGTAAAATATCTCTGTTGCCTTGCTCAGAATTCTTTTCTCAAAACTGATTGAATGTAAATTGTATTTTCAAATTCTGTAATTGTTTTTTTTTTTCATCAAAACTTAATTAAATAGAAAAATAGCATCAGAAAATGGTGACATTAATAATATCATAGAGAAAACCAGGATGTATTAAAAAACATTTATTCTTTAAAACGGATTTATTTTTCAAATTTGAATTGTCATAATTGATTATATTACCAGTATAATTAATTATGATAGAGAAAATTATTTTTCCATTTCTGGTGCATCATAATTAATTATGACAGTGAAAAATATCATGTTATGAATTTTACCACACTTGTGCTTTGGAGGCTTATGCATAATATTACTTCATCAACTTGTACCTTCATATCCAGTATTCTAAGACTTTATCTAGTCTTCAGGAATCATCTTGGGCTTACTTGAATCATGATCTTTATCAAAAACATATATTGGGCATGTAGGGAAATGTTTCACATTGTCACCTACGTCATAAATTCAGTTTGTCCTTAAATTCATCTTGAATGGTGTTGACTTGAATGTAGTTGACTTGAATCATCATCAAAATCATCTCTTGGGAATGCAGGAACATTTCCATCAATCTCTCTCATTGCTTTCAAAAAAGTAAAGTAGAAACAAGATAAAGGTGCTGTAGATGGTGGAGGTAAATATGCCTCAGCCATTTTTTTTTAGATAACATTTTTAAGTGAATGAAAAAATTATTTTTTTAAATAATAATTTTTATTCCATTCATGTATTTTTTTTTTAAAATATAATAGGATCTTGCATCATAATCTTTTGTTTTATAATAATATTTTGGTTTGTTTAATTATGGAGCTTATTACTCAATACATAATCTTATTATTAATATTTTATTTAAAGTATAAAAGCTTTGAAGCAATTGGGAGCATGGTATTATTTTGCAATATCTTCTTACCTTTTTCTTTGAATTTGCATCTAAGTTTTGTAGATTAAAAACATAATTTATAATATTTAATTAATCTTTCGTAGTTTAAAATATTTAGTTTTGCAAAATTTGATAGGAAGAAAATAATCCAAATTTATGACATTTAAATAGTACAAATAAAAAGTAATGATTTATATAATATATATATATATATATATATATATATATATATATATATATATATATATATATATATATATATTAGGAATAACTTTAGTTTGAATTTGATATAATCCAGTTATAAGTTACAATATGACTAGACAAACTTTTTGGTAAGTAATTTAAAAAATAAATATTAGTAGAAAAACTAATTTTTTTCATAAACCAAATTTAGGTTAAGAACATATTATAAAAATAAAGATTGATATTATATTTTTTATTTATATAATACATAAACTAATTTTAAGTTTTTATAATAGTAGTTAATTTTGAAAATTATATTTAAAATAAGTTAAAAAAATATTTAATATGTTTAATTTGAACATGAAAGAATATGATATCGACAAAAAAATTACCATAAAACTTAAAAAAATGACTTTGACAATTTCTATCACTTTTACATATTAAAAAAATAAAATAATATATATACATTAATTTTAATTATAAAGCAAATTGTATTTCATATTTAAATTTAAAATAAATAAATAAATAAATTTTTAGTGTAAAAGTTATAATATGATAATTATATTAGTCAAAAATTTAAATAATATTAATTTAATCGATAATATCAATTCATGTTTATAAATAAATAATAGTTAATAATAAGTCAAAAAGTTACTTAATTCATTTTAAAAAAAATTATATATGTTGTTATATATGTGTATATTCATTCATAAAAATATATAATTGTTGAGGTTATTACACAAATTAATACTACTGTTATCTTTGGATTGTTTTTTTGTGTTATCTATTTTCTTGAATCTGTGTGATAAATTAATGTATTGTTACATTTGAATTAATAAGGTATCAAGAACAAGGTTTATCCTGTGAGTGAAGTGAGACTTTATGATCTTTGTTGTCAGTGTTTGAGTGAGTCTCGGCATGTGAAGTGTGTGATCATTCACCTTAGTGGTGAACAATCTTGAAAATAATGAAGAAGAGTTGAAGATATCAAGATTGGTGAAACTCTTGAATTTACAGATTCAAGATGGTTGAGAATGAGAGTATCATTTAAGGTGCATTAACGATGTTTGATGGAAAGGACTTTGATGATTGGAAGATAAAGATGTTAGTTGTCTTTGAGTTTCCAGATGTAGCGAATGTGGTGATGAGTGGGCTGGAAGACCCTAGAGGTAAGGCTAGAGAAGAAGTCAAAAAACACTTTAAGAATCTTTAAAAGTTGAATAGCAAGACTAGATTTCTCAATTACCAATATGTTGGACTGAAGATCTTCAACAAAATTTTCAAATTTTCTAAGTTTCAATAGCGAAAGAGTGTTGGAAGATTTTGATGATGGAGACAAAAACAAAAAGGTCAAGATGGAGGAGACCTTGAGGAGACAATTTGAGTTTAATGAAACCATTATTGATTACTTTGATAAAATTCAAAAACATGCGAATATAATGAGAGCCTGCAGAAACACAATCACTGATCAGCAGGTTGTTGATAAGATTTTGAGAATATTATCATAAAGATTTGATCATCTTGTAGTGGCAATTGCAGAAACAAAAGACTTGGAGGAAATGAAGGTAAAAGCTTTATAACATTTTTTTGAAGCTCATGAGTTTAGGATTAATGAGAGGAGGTATAATCAAGAGCAGACTCTTCAAGCTAAAACAATCCAAAGGGGAAAAGACAACATCTCAAAAGAAAAGAAACCGTTCAAAAAGAATAAACAAGATGATTAGAAAACAAGTGATATTTTTAAGAGTAAGAAAGATCAGAAGAAGCAGCAAAACACCTCTAATAATGATAAAGAATGGAAGTTTGACAAAAAGAATGTGAAGTGTTACAACTATCATAAGTGTGACCACTTTATACGTGAATGTTGTGAAGGTGTCAAGAACAAGCCAAAGAACCAAGCTAATTTAGCTCAAGATGAAGTTTCTGCAGATTCTGATATGGTGATGTTGATGGCAAAAATTAGTGATATCAACTCAGAAGAAACCTATTTTTGGTACCTTGATTCAAGGTACTCCACGCATATGGCTAGGAGGAGAGATTGACTCGTCAAGATTAATGATGTGTCTCAAGACAAAAACAGATTTTTCGACAACAACAGTCTTAATGTAGAAGGGGTTGGATAGGTAGTGTCGAATGATCATAGTGGTAGGAAAATCATCATTGATGATGTGTTGTATGTACCAGGTTTGAAGACAAACTTGATGAGTCTCTAACAGCTTTTGCAGAAAGAATTTGTCATGAAAATAAAAGAGAATGGTTTGAGTATATGTGACAAAAACCAAAAATTGGTAGTTCATACACATTTTTATGAAAACATAACATTTTGCGATGATAAACAAAGTTTTTTATAAGTAATTTAAAAAAATAAAAATTAGAAGAAAAAATAATTTTTTTCATAAAGGAAATTTAGGTTATGAATATTATAAAAATTAAAATTAAAATTGATATTATATTTTTTTATTTATATTATACATAAACTAATTTTAAGATTTTTTAATAGTAGTTAATTTTGAAAATTATACTTAAAATAAGTTTAAAAAAGTTAATATCTTTAATTTGAACATGAAAGAAAATGATATCGACAAAAAATTATAATAAAACTTAAAAAAAATGACTTTGACAATTTCTATCACTCTTTTACCAATTAAAAATAAAATAAAATCAATATATATATATATATTAATTTTAATTATGAAACAAATTTTATTTCATATTAGAATTTAAAATAAATAAATAAATAAAATTTTAGTGTAAAAGAAATGTAAAAGTTATAATATGATAATTATATTAGCCAAAAATTTAAATAATATTGATTTAATAGATAATATCAATACATATTTGTAAATAAATGATAATATATAATTAATTTGAGATTTAATTTTAGGATTTAATTTCAACAAATTGATAGTTAACGGGATATTTCTATACTTTTGCACATTAAAATGGTAGTTTGTTTTATTTTTTTAATTCTCATGGTTAAAAGTGATGCTTTACCATAATAAAATGAATGATTATTTTAATATCTAAATATTTAAAAGTTTTGTAATAGTTTCTGAAACTAAAACAAAACACTAAATAGGTTTTTACGAGGTTAAATAATTTTTCAAACTTAATTATGTTGTTATTATTAGGTTAGTCTCTAAATACATGATAAAAATAATTTAAGTTCGTAAAAATGCACAGAGCGAAAAGTCGGGTGTGAATGAATACTGAAACAACTCTTTAATCTAGTTAGTCAGATCCATTATGGGCTGGCTCACTCTGGGTTTGTTTTCTTAATGGGCCTAAGATTCATTCATATCAAAGGCTTCACTCTGGGTTTGTTTTCTTAATGGGCCTAAGATACATTCATATCAAAGGCTTATTCTTCCTCCACACTTAGTCATCCAAAAATATAATACTGTTTTCCAGAAATTTTTGGAATGAGTTTCCAGAAATGTTCTGCACTGACCTTTTCAGAAAATTTTAAAAATATTATAAATTGACCTTTTTTATAAGCTTTCCGAAAATATTTTAAAATTAATTTTCTAAATCTGAAAATGTTTTAAGATCAATCTTTCTGAGAGTCTTTCTAATTTTTTTTTAGAAACGTTGACTTTTCTAAAATAATAAAGTTATGTTCAATAAAAAAAACATTTTTAGATTTATCTCTGTGAAAAATATTTGCATTGATAATTTCAGAATGATAAATTATGTTTCACATTTCGTACTCCAAAACTTACAAAAAATTATATATTTTTGAATTCATTTATCCGAAATATACCAGAAATTTTCAATCTTAAATCCTCTAAAATATGCTTCCAAATCATTAGTTTTATAACACTAATAAAAATATTATTATCTTTTCAAATAAATATAGGAATATAAAAAAAAATGAAGGTGCAAGAAGAATGCGTCGATATCAAAACCATCTCAAATTGGGACCTAGATCAACAGTCTGATTGGTCGAAATGGCATACAGGCCACACAGTAGAAGCCCATGGGTTAATACTTGGCCTGTTGGGCCCTTCCCCATTTTTCTTCCAAAGTTTGTTCACGTGATTATATTAAAGTTTGATTAGAAAAAGCTCATCATAAAACTCCTTAATCGCTATACATTGTAAATTTGTTATTGTTACATGGAGAAAGTCTCAGTATACTAAGAAACAATGATATAATGAATACATGAGAGAACCAACTTTTTGGGTCATGTCACTCAATCCAATAGCACATGTTGTGTCTTACATGTCAAAACAACTTCAACCAACTAATGTTCTATTTTCTTACATTTCCATTCTCAGAAACATGTAAACATGTCTCATTTTATATTTGGGTTGTTTGCGGTTTTGTGGCTTGAAATTGGTTAGATGTACTTTGCTCACAACGTGTTTGATTCAATGTGACTCTGGTTTGTAAACACAGTTGGAGGAAGTTTAGGGTTTGACAAAACTCTTATGATTGGAGACTCATAGGGGAAACGTTTGCGATAATTTTGTGGACAATAGAACATTGCGAAAACTGCAATTAGAAAGATAAGAATCGTGTATAGAATGAGGCTAAGAGCATGTGAATTTGTCAGTGTAGGAAGCTACCTACGCAGGTCAATTACTTGGGTCCATTACGATGGCTTTCAATGGAACCTAACAAGTAGAATTTGTTCATTTGTTTACAATGATTAGAAAGAAAAACGGTGCCGATCAATTAGTGCAAAAAAGTTCTGAAAAAAAGCATTAATGGGGGCTATTATGATCTTCAAATAAGTTACAAGTCTTATCCTACCCCTACAAAAAAGGATGCATGACTCACTATCTACACTAATCACAAATAAAGTACTACACTATAATATATGGCTATGTAGTGCTCGTCATGTGAGAGATAGTGACATTTTTGTGAACAACTGTGTCTTTCTTGTTTTGTTTCCCAAGTGTTGCGTTTAGAAGGTGAAATATCTCAAATCCATAGTAACTTTATCCAAAAACATAGTGTTTTTTTTATTAGAATTTTGGCGTTGAATAAATAAAAAATCAAACTTCAGGGGTTGATGATGAACCTTTTCTCATTTAATTTTCACGCCGTTCTAACTTATCTTTGTGAAAATCTTACCTCTTTATATTTTGGCAAATCTTCATTATTTAGCTTTATAGAGGTTAGTTCGGTACGATAATATTACTATTTTACAATAATTAGTTGTTTACTAAATAGGAATTTCATAAAAAACAAATAATATTTTTTTCACTCTGACTTAATACAATTTGTTGTTTATATCTGTCGTAATACCAATACTTACTGGTATTTAAATGCATTTTGATTTATGTAATTTTGTAAAATAAAATAACTGGTAAATATATATATATATATATATATATATATATATATATATATATGTTTTTTTGAATAAGTATATATTATGGTTGCGGTTTAGGTCGATCCTCCACATCAAAAAACTGTTTAAAAGTATATCTACTGAAAACCTGGATAGTTAAGTCTTCTCGATTGGGTTGCTTGAAGCATAATAGGCCAGTCTAGATCACCTATGTCAAGTTCAAATCCTGATAATTTAGTGTGAACTAACAAAGTCATGTATGTTGTTTGTATAACTGTTTATTCTCTCTGAATTCTTATTTTCTGAAAACTTAAATTTTCTAATAGAAATTTTTTTTATTAATCAAACATTGCCTAAGAGTCTTTGAGGGTAGATGAGCGTTGGTAAGCCGGTTTAAGTAATAAGTCCAGCAAGTGACAATAAACTCTATGGTGTTCCCCGAGCATCTTAGACCTTGGCCTTAAAATGACGAAATTAATAAAATTTTTATCTAAAGGAAAAGAAAATTTTGAAGAAAATAAGAACACAGAAGAAGAAACCAGTAATATGAACATAGTACACCATAAACTAATTATTCCAGAAATAGAAAATCAACTTAATAAATGGACCCTTCCAAAACTCGAAATATCAACTATCTATAAAATTAATTGGAAAGATATGTTTAAATATGAATATATAGTAAAACCAGTAGATAAAGAAATAAAACTTTTATCGAGTCATGAAAAAATATCACTAATAACTAAAACTTTAATAGCCGAACATATAAAAGAATATAGATATCTTCATATAGGATCTATATAAATAGCGATAAAACCTCTCTTCAAAAAAGGAATAGATACACCCATATTCGTTGCTTTAAGAGATAATAGATTAATAAAACTTGAAAACCAAATATTAGCAATGTTTGAAACAAATCTTCATAATGGACCAAGTATATATAAATAATTACCCGAATTATTCAATAGCCCTTAAAAATCTTCATAATACGGAAAATAATATACTATTAGATATAAAAATCCTCGAAAACGTATGGAATCCAAGATCAATACCTATAACAATAATATATATAATTTATTATAAGATAATGAAAACCCAATTAGCACCAGGAGCCTTATTAATGTCCCCAAAAGATGAAACAACCATGTTATTAGTAAACCCAGAAAAGGTTAATGCAGTAATAACCAAATTCGAAATAAATAAAGATTTATTAAGACAATAATTTTTAGACGAAAGAAATCAAGAAAAAAGAGAATGGTTTTTTAAAACTTTTACTCAAAAAGAATTAAAAGAATATCGCGAAAAATATTATAATTATTTAAACTCAATTCAAGAAAACATTCCGTACTTCAGATGGTTTGAAGAAAACTGTTTAGAAAATTTACAAATCAATTTATTACAAAATGCTGAAAAAATATGGAAAACAAAAGGTAAAGAAATAATAAGTAAAATCTCTCATTTGGAAGAAGTATGATTTCCTAACATTGAAAATAAAGAAGTAATTGCATCACCCTTCAAAATGATAGGAGAAAAAAGAAATATCAATGATACTCCTAATATAAATGATATTCAAAATCTGCATAGTCAGTTAAACTTTAAAAATCAAATATTACACCAAATAGCTCAAAAAACTATTGAGGAAGAAAATTCACGAAATAATAAAAATTCATTAGGAATAACTGACCTACAAAAATCTTTAATAAACCCTATAAGACTATCCGACAAAGAATATAAAAAATTCAAAATAGGAAATCAATCAGATAGAATATTAGAAGAAATAAATATAAAATTAGAACAATTAAATGTAAGAAAATTAAATGTACTAGACATTCCCGAGGAAGAACTAGGAGACCTAAAGAATATAGATTATGAAGAAAAGATAAATAGAATAGGAAGTAAATTTAATGCAAATCCAACTACCCATAATATGCCAACCACTAGAAATTATTATAGAAGACCAACCTTACCTGATATACAATTCGAAGAATGGAATTTAGAAAGTTCATCCGCCTTTAATGGAACAGGAATAACTGAATGGAACATAGATGGACTAACTGATTATCAATTATTAAGAAAAACTAATGAAATGGCTATGGCTGCCTCAGCATATAGGGCAAAAAACTTAGAAGAACAAACAATACAATTATTAATCCTAGGATTTACCGAATCCTTAAAAGGATGGTGGGAAAATTATCTATCTGCAGATCAAAGACGATTTATCCTAACAGCAGTAAAACAAGATGGAAATACCCAAATACCCCTGATGGTAGAAACATTAATAATATCAATTATCCATAATTTTATGGGCGACTCTAACACCTTTGAAGAAAAAACTAGTACTCTGCTACATAATCTAAGATGTCCCACTCTAAGAGATTTCAGATGGTATGTAGACAATTTCATAATAATGGTAATGACTAGAACAGAATGTAAAGAAACCTTTTGGAAAGAAAGATTTATTGTTGGACTACCCCCAGTATTTGCAACAAAAGTACGAGAAAAATTAAGCCAAAAATACCTTGAACCTTTGCAAGATATAACATATGGAAACATAATTTCAACTATTAAAAACACTGCCTTAGAAATATATAATAATCTAAAGTTAGAAAAACATATTAAAAGACAACAAGAAAGTAGTACAAAAGAATTAGGAGATTTCTGCTTACAATACGGGTATGAAAGATTAGATCCCCTTCTCGAAAAATAAGAAAAAACAAATAATTAAAAGAAAATTCTCTCAGAATAATAATAGAAACATTCCTAGAAACTTTAAAAGAAAAATAAGAACAAACCCCTCTACAAGTAATAATCAACCTAATACAAAGAAATGAATAGTTTGCTATAAATGTGGAAGATACGGACACATGAAAAAAGATTGTAGAGTCCGAGAAAGAATACAAAACCTAGATATGAGTGAAGAGATAAAAAACAAAATAACAAAAATATTGTTATATGAATCAGACGAAGACATTAATAATTTAATAGAAACTAGTAGTAGTGAAGAAGAACATACTACTAATCCAAGTGAAAATGAGAAAGAAGAAAATTGTGACTGTATATTTAATATTAATGTTTTAACTACGGAAACTAAAATAGCTTTAGAAATGGTAGATAAACTTCAAAATGAAGAAGATAAGTTAGAATATTTAACTAAATTAAAAACATTAATATTAAGTGAAAAAGAAGCAGAAACCATATCAACCGAAGTAAGTGGTTATGATTTTTCAAAAATATTACGAAAGACAATAAATAAAGAGAAACCCGTAAATTTACAAGACTTACAAAAGAAATAAGTCTTCTAAAAGAAGAAATGAAAGAAATTAAAATTCAATTAGTAGAATTTAAAATAAAAAATGAAATACAAGAACAAAAAATGAATATTATAAATAATAAAACTATCTTAACCGATGAATCAACTTATGAGAAGGTTAATCAACTAAAGATTTTACAACAAAAATGACATATAAAAGCTACCTTGAAAATTGGAAATAATTTTCATAAACAATTTACTGCTTTAGTGGACTCTGGAGCTGACATAAATTATATAAGAGAAGGATTAATACCTACTAAATTTTATGAAAAAACTTTACAAACCCTAAGAACCACGAATTCTGAAAAACTAAAGGTAAAATATAAATTGTCAAACGCCAGTATATATAATAAAGGAACCTGTTTTAAAAACACTTTTATATTAACCCCTGATATTAGCGAAGAAATGATAATAGGAACCTCATTTCT